AATAAATGGACAATATTGTGAAAAGTTTTTTGGTAATACGCATTTGAAGAAGATTTTCAAGATGATATCAACATTAGATTCAGGAAATAGAGAATTATTGTCGCTCTTATTTTTTCAGGAGCTCTTCGGAGTTCTATAGCCTAATGTCTAAAGTTCTTTTGAAGGAGCTGTTTTACAATCCTGCTGATAGGGAGAGGAGGGCATAGAAATTATTCATAGCTGAAGCTTCAGAAGGTTTTTCTCACCCAGCTTGAAATTTACAAGGTAGAAAATTCAATTTATAATTCTCAATCTGATTATAGTAGCAAGCATTTGAGTTTTACTATGTCTGATAATCGTGACATTAAATGGCTAGAGATTATCATACCAGAATTAGTTGTGTATGATGGGTTATTCTTGCCATAAGCTGGCTAGAATAAGCAGCAATTAGGTTATCTCTGTTCTTGGAGGGAGGCCCTGAGAGTCTTGAACATGGTAACTAAAAAGGAGTGACACCAGCTGCTTATTAAGCAATAACTGTTGTTCATTTGAGTAACACTTCTCCTTGGCCCTCCACCTGCTTTCTTACTGGTCTGGCCTACCTTCTTTCAGGCCCAGGCCTGGGAGTGCTTGCAAGATATAGTTGGGGTAAAATGTTGACTTTTGGTGGACACCACGGAGTCACATTGATGCAGATAAGGCACATGGCTGTGGCAGGATTCAGCTCCTTCATCAATTTTCAGGTTAGTATGGCTGAATCAATTATAGTTTGTAGAAGTTCCCTTACTGCAGACTTTAATGGCAGTTGAGACGGGGATCTTTCTTCCATGAGAGACATGGTGATATGTCACATTACTTTGGAATACAATGTTGGTCACAGTTTCAATCATAAGGACAACCAGCTATAGTTATTTATTTAATTTATTCAAACTTTTATTTTTGTAGACAACCCTTCCTCAGACAGTTTTCTTGGCTCAGGCGACTTAAGAACCTTTGGCCAGAGTGCAAATGGCCAGTGGAGAAATTCTACTCCAGCATCAAGCTCAACTTTACAAAAATCAAGAAATAGCCGAAGTATTTACCTCGAAACCCGAAAGACCTCAAGGTTGGTATTTTGACGACTTGGTTCTTAGGCCCTTCCTCAGTTGTAAGAGAAAGTGGCTATAAGTTAGTTATATTACCATTTTATTTATTTATTTATTTTTGAGACACGATCTCACTCTGTCACCCTGGGTAGAGTGCCATGGTGTCACAACTCAGAGGAATTTCAAACTCCTGGGTTTGAGCAATCCTCTTCTCAGCCTCCTCAGTAGCTAGAACTATTGGTGCCCGCCACAACACTGGGCTAGTTTTTGTATTTTTAGTAGAGAGAGTCTTTCTTTGCTCAGGCTGTTTTCAAACTCCTGAGCTCAAGAAATCCACCCCCTTCAGCCGCCCAGAGTGCTAGGATTATAGGTGTGAGCCACCACGCCCACCCTATGACTTCTTAAATTCTACTCTGGCTGTGTATTTTAGGACTGTGGAATCATTTTTCTGTTTAGATAAGACTAAGCTTTCTGGCGTTGATGGCTTTTATTTTACCTTATTATTATCAGCACTTAGACTCAGTATTCCCAGTGGTAATCTTTCCAATTCTTAATTTTTTAAAAGTTATACAAGAATTCATTAATATACTTACATTGTAAAAATCAGAACATTATCAATGAAGTGAAAGTTCCCTTGACCACTACCTATATAATCTCAGTTCCTTTCCTTTGGTGTGTTTCCTTTCAAATCTTTCCCTATGATTGTTTCTGTCTTTTTCAGTAATATATAGCATGATATATATGCTGTTTATAAAATGAAATGTATGATATTTGTCTTCATTAAAGATTTTCTGTAATCATTTAGCAAGTTGCTTTTCTTACTCAATGATGCCATACTATTATTTTTAAAAATAACATATTTTAGAAATAGTACACTGGCATGGTGGCTCCTACCTATAATCTTCGCCCTCTGAGAAACAGATAGATTGCTTGAGCTCAGGAGTTTGAGACCAGCCTGAGCAAGAGTGAAGACCCCATTTCTACTAAACCTAGAAAAATCAGCAGGGTGTTGTGGCGCGTGCCTATAGTCCCAGCTACTTGGGAGGTAGGAAAATTGCTTGAGCCCAGGAGTTTGAGGTTGCCATGAGCTAGGCTGCTGCCATGACACTCTGTCCTGGGCAACAGAGTGAGACTCTGTCTCGAGAAAACAAAACAAAAAACATCACATTCCTACCAGCTTGAGATCAACTCTTTAATGTCTTAGTACATATCCTTTCAGATAGTTTTCTTGCCTTCACACATTTTTTTCCAAAATGAGTTCATACTTTACGTAATCTTTTTTTCTTTTCTTTCTTTTTGAGACAGAGTTTTACTGTGTCACCCTTGGTAGAGTGCTATGGAGTCACAGCTCACAGCAACCTCAAACTCTTGGACTCAAGAGATTCTCTTGCCCCTGCCTCCCAAGTAGCTGGGACTACAGGCATCCGCCATAACACCCAGCTATTTTTTTGTTGTAGTTGTCATAGTTGTTTCGCAGGCCTGGGGCTGGATTCGAACCTGCCAGCCCCAGTGTATATGGCCAGCACCCTAGCTGCTAAGGTATAGGCGCCAAGCTTACAATCTGATTTTTTTTAATCAGTCACTTCTTCTTTTCCAATTCAGTAAATTTTATCTCTTATAGTAAATTATATTTAAATTTACCCAGTTAACCCAAAAGTATCTTTTATAGCTAGTTTGTCCAAACCAGTATCCAATCCAGAATTGCATCTGGAAGTTAGATAATCTATAACAGCTTCCCTTTATTATTTTTTATTTTATTATTATTATTTTTTTTTACTTTATGTTAGAGTCAGGGTCTCACTGTGTCTCCTTGGCGACAGTGGCATGAGCATAGCTCACTGTAGTCTTCAACTTCTAGGCTGACGTAGTCCTGCTCAGCTTCCCGATTAACCAGACTACAGGTGCACCACCATACCTGAATAACTTTTTATTCCTCTACTCTTTTTTTTGGCCGAGGCTGGGCTTGAACCTGCCACCTCCGGCGTATGAGACCAGGGCCCTCCTTCTCTGAGCCACAGGCACCGCCCTACTCTTTTTTTTTTTTTTTTAATGACATGACTTTTCTGCATAAAATTCCACCTTGGAATTGACAGGTTGCTTCCTCATGGTATCATTATTTTGTCAGAAAATTGTATGTATTCAATAAAAGAGCAAAAGATGGTGTTATATCACATTAGGAAATAATTATCTTGTTCTGGTTCTCTTGTTTTTATTGATGCCAGATAGATCTCTAGATGGAGGAAATGACAATCTGGTTGCCAGTTATACAGTTAGGTTTTTCCCCTATGACTAGAATGTAATCTAAATGATGTTAGTTTGGCATTATATGAATGAATAATTTTACATGAGCCTTTCACCTAACAATTATTAATGTCAATTGATAATATTTACTTAAAAATACTTTTATTAGTGTTACATGAAATAATATTTTTTAAATTTTCATTGATTTTTTTCCTACACTTACTAATCAGTACTCACTTGCCTTTTTTATTAGCTGAGGCCATTTGGTTACCCTGAAATGCATTTCCTATGGGAAAGGCAGGATAAATGGTTAGACTTTTCTTTTTTGTAACCAGTTCTTAAAAATAGCTACTTCATATGATTGAAACGATTTTTTTTTGTTCTCTTTTGCATGCCATTATGGATTCAGTGTGTTTTAGTCCACTCATTCATTTTTTGAATGCTTACATTCTCAAAACTTTGCCAGTGGAAGCCTCTTTAAGCTTGCTTCTCTGTTTTTTTTTT